AGGATGTTTCATCCAGAAGGCCTCTGTCTGGTAAGTGCAAATTACCCAAATGTGTGGGAAGAATTGTTAGCATTTATTAAAGAAGCCTTGCGTTTTTCAAGTTTTAATTTAAAATGCTCTTGATGGCATATCCTTTTGCACCGTGGCTGTCACAAAGCTGTATATTCCCCTCAGTTCTCATCGGTCTCTGTTTTGCCTGAAGTCTGAGGTGTGATTTCCTCAGGTCATGATCACTAGGAAAAAATTCTCCTAAAGCCTGTGTGCTCCTGATGAATAGGCAGTATGCTGGAGAGAGATTCGATCGCATCCGTCTAATTAGTGTTCAGTGAACTGGTGTGAGATGAAACTTAACGGTACGGCATTCACAAAAATAAAAACTTCCAGGGATCCTGTTCTGTACGTGTTGGACTTGCCTTGTTTTGTAAATGTCCCCATTACAAAGCTGTCAGTGTTCCTCTATTTACAGCTCTTACGTGCGTGTTTTAAAAGAAAAACTTGGCTGCTTTATCGTGTAGGATGGCTGGAAATAAACTACTGCAATGTTCTACAGCAAAAATTGGGAACCTTTTACGCCATGATTTTTTTAAAGACCTTTAAAGCTTACTGTTTACCTCATCCCTTCCAACTCTTGTAACCAATGTGTACAGATGTTAGAGAAATTATTTCTGCTCTATTAAAAAAAAAAAAAAAAAAAGAGGCCCACGCTTAACTACGTTAAAATTGAGCCTGGTGGTAAATTATTGTAGGATATAATGAACGGTACCATGACTTCCAACTTCCGTGACTGAACCTGGGACTTAAACAGAGGCTAGCTCTGTTTGAAAGAGCTTGTCTGTCCTTGGGATAGAACAACAAACTGCCAAATAAAATAGCAGAAAATCTTAAAATGGAAAAAGGGGAAGGGATAAAGTAGTGAGTGGAAATGCAGGATTAATTGCAACATTTTCTTGCAATTAAAATGCACATTATTTTTCCCCTTGTTTTGACAGAGAAAGTCAATCTACTAAAAATAATAAGGCAAAAGTTTATTTCGTTATTTAAGGAAGTAATTACTTTAAATTAAAGTTTTATTTAAGGAATAAAAGTTCTGGAAATTGTTTTGTGAGCAGTTGAAGAACTGAGTTAGGAAAATGTTAGATTTCATACATGTTTAAGTCTGCTGCTTGTAGAGAGAATAAAATTGAGAAGCAGTAATCCTCTATATTTTATAATTTTTTTTTTTCCTCCCATAATTTCTTCTGTAGGGAAGAAACTTTTCTGTCGTGTTTGGGAAACTATACACAAAAAGGATTTTGGGGCTTTCTACTTTCCATTATGGCACATGGCATCAGCTTTGGAAGACAAAGATCAAATATACAGATCTCCTTTTCTGTTCCTGTAATTAATACTTCTAATTTACTATATACTATTATACTATAAAGCTTGCAAAATAAATATACTGAAGTATCTGACTTGCTCATGTGAACACGTTAGCTAACCTGCAGCTCTCCAGCAAGTGCAAGTGTTTGCTGCTGGGGTTGTACCTGGAGTTATGTAAAAAGGTGACAGTAAACTAACTGCTCCAGGGGAACAGCACTGCAGTAATTGAGGTGTCCCTTTGACACTGGATAAGGGGTGGTTTTTGTGTGCGTGTGTTCAGCACCAGAACTACTTTTATTTTGCCCTGTGGCACAATGGTGGTAATTTGGTCAATCTTACCTTTTGTCTTTTTTTATTTTAATTTTTTTCTTCTCTAGCTTATTTGCTTAAACGTCGTTCCAAACTTGTAATGCAGGATATAACCCAAACTTGTTACTTCCTGATTGTTGTTAGACAGAACTTTATTCATCATTTAACTTGTCTTACTTTGCCAAGTTACTAATAACATTTTTCATTTGCCAAACTAAGGTTCACTGACATTGGTCTGTAATCCTTTACTTTTTTTCTTTTTCATTCAGATGCAACCAAGAATGAGTAAGTGCTCTAGACACCGTTTCTAATAAATCACAAATGCATTAATAACCCTGGAATTTGCAAGGCATGACCTAAGACACTAACAGCCACTAGATGTAGCAACTGGTGCTTAACACTGGAAACGTCCATTGTTAGCACATTCCCAGGAAATATTTTTAGGCTTGTCAGGGGAGAATGTCATACATTTGATAATCAGGTCTTTTTGAATTAACCGATGACCAAATTCTTCCGGGTGTTTTAAAGTTGTCTGTTCTGTTTTACTCTCACGTGAAACATAGGCTGTTTAATTAAAAGACATTCGTTTCTGAAACCGGAAATCATTGTCTCGTAGCTGTATTGCTGTGTGCTCTAATACATAAAATATACATACAGGTTTATAGTCCTCTGTAGCCTCTAACACTGTTGTTTGCAGTCACCTTTTAAAAAGGTGTTTCCTTTCTGAACCTTGTTTTCATTCACATTTGAAAGTATCGGAACTATTTCGTTGTCGTCATAAGATTTCTCTGCTTGGTTTCTTACCAAAAGTGACTTTTCTGTAGCTGGAACTTGAACGTTTGTCTGTCTTCTGAACTGTAGAAATTCTTTCCTTCAGATGAAACAAAATTTTTACTAAGAAAAACACCAGTGGACTAAGTAATTTATCATCAGTATTCAAAGCTGCAATATCCTGGCTGAAGTATATCATCAAAAAATTTGACATTTAGATACTCTGGTGATAAATATCACAAAAATATTATGAGCTGATATGAAGGAAACTTCCTTTTTCATGCCATTTAATTTCAAATCTAATTTCTTTAAAAATAAACTGAAACTAATTTCATGCATTACCCATGCCAGCTTACCTTGGATAATTTTAGTATTTAGGATAAATGCAAGTATATACATGTCCGTCAGGCCATTTCTTTAGGAAAAACCCACATAGTGAAAAAAGAGAACTCACTCTAGAGGGCACCTGACACCTTGTCCGAGTGCCCAAAGTAGCAGATGGGAAACAATTTCATAGTCCCTTTGCTCTAACCAGGAACGTCCAATAAACTCGTCGTGTCGCTGGCTGTTTCAGTGGCAGAAGGGGAGCTCTGGAGGCGGTGGGGTGGCTCGGGGCCGTGCCCATGGGCAACCTGGTGCGGGCACCGCGTGGAGCCTTCCTCTCTCCGCTCGGTCGCTTTGCTGCCCGGTGAGCTGAGGCATCGGGCTCTTCACCATAAAACCCACGTGTGTGGTGGTGAAGACATTTCCCGTTTTGAAAACATCGTGTTTAATTGGAGGTGGCTCAGGAAATCAGGTTGCAAACGGCCATCTGAGTTGCTTAAATTCACTTTTGTTATTTCATCCTTTTAAAGAAAATGATGGATTCAAACGATCGGCGCGGTAAAACCCCTATGCCTTCCTTTGCGAAAGCAAGTGCTATCTTTTGCCATGAACAATTACATAGATAATAAAGGACTGCAGCAACTCACTCTGTCGGCGAGAGATTATATATACATTGGCAAAAGCACCTACATCGTTCATCGTGTCATTTCTATTCGCACAGTCATCTGGTGACATAACTGTTTAGGCCCATTTTTCAGGTTTAGACCATGACGCACATAAGTCAATGATCAAAATACTGATGAGCAGCCGCTCCGAGTGTTACTGGTATCACCTCCGTAAAGATGCTGTAGGATGAGGAAGGGTACTAGGGCAGGCAGCTAGCTTGGTCTGAGTTTTGGAGAGGCTTCCATAAGGTGAGATTAAATAGACTAAAGTCTTTCACCTTGAAAAGAGGTTCCAAGCATGAGTGGCAGAAGGAGAATAATGTCGAGGTATGTAAAGTCATGACTGGCATGAGAACGTTTATTCATTAGTTCTCGTAACTCCAAGAACGTTAGGCGCTTGATGAAGCGATCTGGAAGGAGATCTAAAATACATGCAAACTCTTTGTCATTTTCCAGCCAACGCCTCGTTATATTGTGAAATTTGTTGCCACAGGATGTTTTGGATACTGAAACTATGAATGGATGCAAAAAACATTAGACAGATTTACAGAGGGCATGTCATTCGTGGCTATTAAAGACATTGATCTGTATGCAATCGCTGGTTTAGGAAGGCCCAAAGCTACTGGTGCTGAAAGCTACAAGGGTGCGTCGGGACAGGATTTCTCAATGTCTGTTGTTGTCGTCTTTCTGTCCTTTTTTTTCTGCGCTTTCCCCCATCTCCTTCCTTGGGATCCATTACTGGCTGTTTTCTGAGACAAGACTACATTAGTCTTTATTATGCTGTGTTGCATGGGAGGACCGTTTTTGAAAGTGTTTGGTTTTCTCTTAAGGAGTTTGAAAGGGGCATGATTGTTTTGAAAAATGCTTGCCAGAATTTCTTAAGTTCATGTGATATCAGAAAAGCGTTCCCTCGGTGAGTGGTGGTTAACTCATGTTTTCATCTCTTTCTGTTTGACAAGGTTGTGGCTACATCCAAAGTCCTTGCCTCTTCATTAGAAAGAGGGGACGGGGGGAGGGGGGGAAATTAATCTTTAACTCAGCCGCGTGATCCTTGAATGACTTTTGTAAGCCTTGCTCTCAAAGGAGACTACCTATTCCTGTTACAGTTGAGCGTAGAAATGTTTGCCTTAACCTTATAAAGGAGGCGAGGCTGAGTTTGTTTTTTCGCAGATGATAACTTTGGGGGCATTTTTTCCTTTCCCTTTATGTAAAGTAGTTGCTCTATTCTAGGCCTTTGTTTTACAAGCACTTAAGCACACGTTACTTCCTTGCGTGAATGTAACGAACATAACCCCTTACGTGTGTGATGTCACTTTACACTGATGTAAGTAAAATTCTTTGCATGTAACTGTCAACGTTTTTAGGAATCATCCCTTGATCTTGTTGAATTATTGTTCATTACAGAGTTACTAACTTACACTCCTTTTTTAATTTTTTCCTTTCTTCTGCCTGTGCCCTTGCCCTCTTCCTTCAAGAAAGCAGCACATCTGTGATTTGAATAAGTAAATGTTCTCTTGAATTATGTTTAAAATGTGATCGTTTTACTTTTATGTGTTCCTTTTGTCTTTTCAGGACAGCCCAGAAACTTGCAAGATCTATGCCGAATTAAAATTCGCCAGTGTATAGGCCTTCAAAACCTAAAACTACTTGATGAACTACCCATTGCCAAGGTCATGAAAGACTACTTAAAACACAAATTTGATGATATCTGATATCCATGAAGAGAAGAACTCTGAACAAGATTAGTTATATTCCAGATACTTAAGAGGCTTGTTGCCTTGCACAAAGTATATCCTATGCAAATTCTGATTTTTCTGTGAAGTCAGAAGGCAGGTATACACTTCCTTGGGTTTTTTATACCACATGCTAGAAGGTCTTAATTTTTGGTTTCTTGGTCCAAGTTTACAAGGTCCAAGCTTTCTATACAATATTACATTTTAAAAATTGCTGTTGGTTTTTTGTTTGTTTGTTTTCAAATTAAGCGTGCAGACTTGCAGTGGAGATGGAAAATAGCCTTTCAAGGGAAGTGATTGGTTCGAATTGGCATGCTGAGCAATTATTAAATGAAACAAAGTTTGGAAACCGAGGCACCAGTCCTGCAAAAGGGTACCTATAGGAAGATCTTCAGGGCCGTGTTGTGTGTTGTGACTCACAAGAGTCCACAAAGAGCTACAAAGCTGTAAGTCTCTACCTGGCTGTGTGTTTTTGCAGGACAGAAGGTAGAGTTGGTAATCAACATGTCCTGGAGTACTATTCAGATATCATTTGGGAATTAAAAAAAAAAAAAAATGCAGTTACCCTATTCAATTCATAGGTGTAAGCATTAGCTCTTTTGTATTATTCTCTTCCTAATTACTGTAGTTTGGATGCTGATAAAATTCGGGCCCTCTGCTTTCCTGACATTCCCTGTAAAATGGGTGGCTGTTTGTAAGTCTATTTTTAACAGTGACAGTACACTACAGAGAGGCATAGCCTCTGTATTTTTTACATTAACTTAAGAGTACACGAATTTAGATTTTTGAAGCCAATGCATTCAGTTTCTCATACAGTGCCTCCTGTGCAATAATCTTTCTGATGTATTTCCCCTTTATGTGTGATTTCTCCCCACACGCTATTCCTCATTTAGTCTCAGTACATTATTTGTAAGAATAGGAACTGCTGCCTCACTGTAGTGTTGATACGATATTACTCTAATGATGTGGCAGTTGCTGTTCATTATTAATCCCTGAATTTCATGAATGTATAACCTGCTTTATTTCACTTTCGGTTGAAATTTTATCTACGGGTTCTCAGACAAATTTTGTCCATCTAAAAAGAAAAAAAGAAATTGGCCTAAACCCTTTTACTTTAAAGGCAACGATTTTTTTTCCCCCTCAGAAATTCAGTTTGCTTCAGGTTAGAGTAGGAAGTGCATGTAATCTGTTAATTTGCATCTTTTACGTGCACTAACAAGAAAAGTCCCCTTCATATTAAAATTTTAAATTGTGCAAACATTAGGTGGTTTCCTATTAATCTGAAAGCAGCAACTGCAAGCAGTACTGAAATTTGGCTACTGAATGTGGTTTTTCATAATAGATATTAAAAAGATCCATTAAAGAATTTTGTTTCCAATGATAGAAAACTCTGTTCTTACCATCAAAAAAAAGTGGGCCAAAATCTCCACATCTTTCCTTCTCCTTATTTTCAAGGGATTGTGGAATCATCATAAGGTCCTTGCCAGTGACTTCTACGTTTGTTTTGGCATCCTGCTGGCTCCTAAAGAGCCTCTCTAATATCAGGAGTGCTTTTGCACCAGTTGCATCCATGGCAGAGGGGAGATGAAAAGAACGGTGGTGGCTTTTCATTTTAACGCTGTCACTTTCAAAATGTTTAATGTTAAAAGTATGAAAAAGGGAAGCAAGTATACTCATATTATTTAACTATACTAGTTCCTTTTAATTTTTTATAACCCTGGATTGCAGTTCCTCAAGCACAAATCTTATCACTAGTAACAGATGCACTGGAGCTGTGCAAGCAAGGAGGATTCCCTCTTCCTATTGTGCCTAACATTGCATCAGATTTCCAAACAGTAGTGATTTTGGAGATTGATGGCTGAGAGGATTGGTAATGGGATGTTGAACCTTTTTATCTCCAACTCGTATCGGTTCAAGTCCAGCCTGCTTCAGCAGTGATCAGAAGTTAATGTTCACGGCAGCGCGCAGGAAGCCAGTACGTCCACTCCTAACACTGTACAGCCAGTGCATTGGTCACCTCTGGGTGGCAGAGCTCCCGTCTTTACAGCGCTTCCTCCAGATTATACGTAATGGTGGTGGCACTAAAGAGGCAGCAAACTGAGAGCGTGGGTAAGGTGCGTGAGAGCGTGCGTGCATGATGGTATCTGTCAGCTTTTATCGAAGCTGGAAGGATCAGCCATTAAGATCTTTAAACCTTGACAGTACTGAGACATGATGACAGAAGTTAAGAATTGACTGGCAGGTTTTAAGCTTGAGACTTCAGCTTTGTGAAATGAAATCAGAACATTAACATTGTGGGGGGTTTTTTTGTTGTTTTTTCTTTTTAATCCTTAATATTGTTCAAAACATCTGTAAGTTGGTCTAAACCAATGTCCTTCCCCACTGATTTTTTACAGTAATATTTTCTAAGGTAATCTAGAGTATATTTTAGTTGCAACCTATATTAACGCAGATTATTTGTTCTGTCTGTTGCTGTGACTGAGGAAAATTATGGAAGACTTTGTTGGTAACAGAAATGCTATTTAATGAAGAAAAATGTAATTCCATTATTTATTGTTTGAGGTTTGTTTTTTGGATATTTCTTTTGAGTAACTGACATCTGAAAGGAGCACACACATTTCAGGCCAGTAAAAAAGCTGTTCTTTTTAAATTCATTTTCATCCCATCCTCTCTCCCCACTCCCTAAGGCAGAGGGAAGCCCTCATCCTTTCTTACAAAGCTTAAACCATCTCTTGTAGATGGTTTCTCCGACCTTGATTCAGCAAAGCACTGCAGCACGTGTGTAGCTCTGAACACGCGGACAGTCCTGTTGGCTGTTCTGAGTTACCCATGTGCTCGAGTGAGTGAAGTACGAGAGTTTATTCGTCACGAATCCTACCCAAACTTCAGTAATGGGGAATTTGGTTATTTTCATTATTTTAAACATTGTGCACAAATATTTTGAAAAACAAACTGAACTTTTTTTTGTTTGGACTAGAACGTGGAATGATAAGTGCATAATATAAAGTTGTTATGTAGCCTAGTTCCCTTACCTTAAAATTCACAGTTGAACACTTGTAATAAACCTTAAAAATTGGCAAATACACCAAAGAAACAATATGAGTAAAAGACTCTGATCACTAACAAACTGCAAACCTCATCCTTTAAAACAAAGCAGAAAGTTTTTGTAAATATTTATGTTTATAAATGTACAGCAGAGTAAGAGTGTTTTTTAGATTATTTAATTACCATATTTCTAAACTATTTACATTATAGACAATACTTGTTAGTTTGAAAAGCTCTTGAGTGTTTTTTGTTTTTTGGGATTTTTTTAAATTCATTATCGCTGATGCTTGGAATAACTCTGGCTTCCTTGGGATCATGTGAAAAATCTAGTTTTCTGGCTGTAGTTGGCAATAGTAGGAGAACACATCTGGACAGACTTGTCAGACACATACCCTGAAGCAAAGAGAATATGTAGCATGTTTACCAGGGTGGACCTGGACTAGATGAAAAATTTTGGATCCTAACTCTCTCAGTTAAATCTGTCCAGAGCCCACAATGTCATTGTGACAAGAGCAATTTACAACCTGCCCACAAATCTAGCTTCCATGCAACTCTGTTATCAATATCATAATGTATTTTGTTCTTCCTTTGTAATGTAAGTTTTGCTTTGGGTCAATTTGAAACTTTAAAAAAAAAAAAAAAAAGTTAAATCTGGTTAAAACCTTCCTTTTGGTTTATGTTCTGTTTATTTCTGATGTGATGTTTTAATAACAAAATATCACTTTAGACACTTTTTCTCAATGTTTGTCTGTCTCTTCTGCTCCTTTTCCCTTCTCTAGTGCTCATGATTCTGGTAACGCAGTCGGTACTCAAATTTGCCACCCCACGTAGGAGTTCACATGCCTCATGGATTGTATTGGGATTTGTACCAGTAAATCAGGGAATAAAACTCGGTCTTAGAGCTGGACTGCAGAAGGGAGGGAACAAGCTAGTCTTTAGCTGTGAGTAGTTCATTCTTTCCTGCTCAGGTTCCAATGGAGCCACTTTAAGGCCTAAAAGGTATAGGTATACCTTTCCATTCTCAAGTTCCTACGCCAACTGAAATTCAAAAATGGACCAAATATAGGTCATATTGTGTAGATAAGTCTGTTTCATATCCATTTACTAATACTAAAAGTGGAATAAGGAAGATATCTGAATATTCCTGGCACACAAATGGGGACTGGGAGCAAGGGTTCTCAGTCCTGAGAGTGATGTACAAGCAAAAATTGCAATAAGTTTTTGCACCCCAAAAAGTCTGAGAGGAAGGAAACTGGAATAAAGACTTAACTATTGCTGCTGAAAGGTAGTGGAAGAGATGTTTTCCATTGCCCGGTGACAAAGCATTAAACATCATTGGGTGTACATAAGTTGTACAAGACAACAGTTGTGTTTAGAACTGTTGATGATAGTTACACTAGTCAAAGCCTGGTCAGTCTGTCAGTATTTACTAAATGTTATGTTAAGACTTGGTTCCTGTTTATGTATCATACTTCTTGTTTGAATGTTCACTTGTTAAGTTTAAAACAATTAATGGTTAATGTTATTACTTGATTTACAAGCTGTTGTCAAATGAGATTATATATAGAATATATGGTCTTTCCATATGTTGGTATAAGTGTGCAATAAGAAAGTGTACTTATTCTGTATGACATTACTTATTTTTAAGCATTTAAAACAAAAAAAAAACTTATTTGAAAGCAAAAGTGATGGAGCCAATGAGAATGAGCTAATTAGGATCATGGACCTGAATTCTGCTCTGCCTCTGCCATATGTTTCCCCAAACAGCCTGGACAGAAGCAACTTTTTTGCTCTAGTATCTGTCTGTCTGTCTCTCTTTCTCTCTCTCTCTCACCTTGTTTTGATTGGGACTGCCACAACCTCAAAGGCTTTGTACTGTTTGAAACTAAAAGAGTATTGAAACGCTGAAGTTTATTCTTTTCCCATATCACGGGCATATTTGAATCTTTTCTTCATAATTCTACTTCTTGTCCTATGATGTTAACCAAAGTAAAGCTCAATATGCAATTTAATGTCATGAAAATAAGAAACAAACCAACTATATACACTGCTGTATGAAACCTTGCTACCAAGAGTTCCTCAGCGAGTGCATTCCCCAGGGATCCACAACGTGCAGCTGGAGCAGCAAAAAAGTTGGGATCGAAAGCTGCATTGACTTTTATTGGGAAATCTCCAGCTGTCTAGTGAAGAAGTCTGAACTCCAGCTGCTTCCTACGCATCTGGGATCCCCAGTGTTGCTGGCTGCTGTTTGTGAGGTCTCAGGTAAGTTTTGAACACTGTTCTATTAAAGGTCTGTCCTCATGTTTGCAAGAGGTATATGTGAAACATCTACTTCTGTAGGTATTTTTACAAGTGTACAGGAAGTATTGCTGTGCCTTCTCTAAACTTGCCCATTTTTTCCATGTAATGAAATTTGTGTAGACTTAAAACAAATGTGCTTGAGAGCTACAAATGCTACAGAGAGTAAGTATTTCCCAAATTCTGATTTGATCTGTTGCAGTGTTCTGGAGACCCCTCTGGGTCCATGAAATATTTCTAGAAGGTCTGGGAAAGGTAAATGAAAAGCAAGTTTATATTCAGTAGGTTATACAAGAGCATATGCTTTTAAGAGAAAACTAAAGTCTGAAAATGACTGACATACAGCAAAGACCATCTATTCTTTGTCATTTTTTTAAGCAGTTTTGTTCTTTATTTACAGGCCATGAAATGACCGTAACTCCTCTGTTCTGACTTGAAAAAACAGAATTCATTTGCAGTCTTAGTACTCACCAAGTATATCAAAAGATCATCTTTACTTATATTTTACTATATTATGTCCTCATTCTTGACGTATACTGTTGTAACTCCATTGGAGCTGGTTGTTATTTGCCATTTAATCTAGTGTGAAAGAGCAGATCATTTATATAAGGAGCTTTCAGTCGTGCTTCTTGCTTTATGGCCTAATAGGGAGAGTATTTTTTTTAAAGTATTTACGAAACACTGTGAAGGAGCGCTAAGAGAAATTCTGTAGTTAGGGTCATGTTTATAAGC